ACTAAGTCCTACTTCCTCCCATAAAACATAAAGAACAACAACAAAAAAAAAACCTTGTAAAACCATGTTTTCCCTTATGTTATGAACAGGCTCTGATGGATATTTTGACTACCACATCAAACATAAAATATTGATGAAGCAGTTAAGAAAAATAGATTCCACTGCTCTCTTTAGCAAGGAATTAAATATTAAAAACCAGCCAGGCAAGGTGGTACCCACCTGTAATCCCAGTGGCTCAGAAAACTGAGGCAGGAGGATCACAAGTTCAAAGCCAGCCTTAGTAACATAAAGAGGCCCTAAGCAATTTAGTAAGACCCTGTCTCAAAATAAACTGGGCTRAGGATGTGGCTCAGTAGTCAAACTCCCCTGGGCTTAAGCCCTGATACCAAACCAAACAAAACAAAACAACACTAGATTGTATGCTTCGTGTTCTAAGTATATAAAAACATTCACTGGAATACACTTGAAACCAAGGGGTAATTGTTACAACTTGTAAAATTAACTAAAAGAAACAATCATATAACTATGTATTTACATACAGATGCTTCTTAGATATACCTATATATAATTACAATTTTGCTTAGACTGTGTAGAGAAGGTATTTTAGAATTCTGAGTTAAACTAACCAAAATTGACATGTATTCCAAGTTGAAAAAATCTGAGCAGTGTTATAACAACATGGTCAGCAAAGGAAAGATGGGTGGAAAGAAATACTGAGGCACTGGTGTAGAGTCAACATTTGTGARTGTTTGGGCAACACTGATGAAAACAGAGGGACCCCTATCTCAGAGATGGAAACTTGGAACAGTCTTCATTGGAATGGCATTTACCCACACTCAGTGGATGCATGGTATTTAGGTCCCCTTGGTGCTTTACATCAGAATACCAATTATTCATCTCATATTGGCCTTGGTTTTATGATTTTTTATTTTTTAATTCAGATAGCCTAACCCTGTTAGAGTCAAACCTTCGATAATGCATGAGTATTGGTCAGAACCAGACTAGACTCTCGCTTGAGTAGCCAATTGATTTTCCTTGGCAACATTGTTATAAACACCCCCMAAAAATTGCAAAAAGATTCATGACACAGCCATAACTAGAGCTTTATTCATGTATTATAACAGAAATAAAATTTCAATATAAAATAATTATAATGGAGGTTTTTACAATGTGCTTTAATTTATATAATGTATTTTTATCTGCTTCAAAAATTATGCTCTATGAATTTTTTTACATTTATATAATTATACTTTCATTGCTCCCTTCTGTAAGAATTGTCTTTAAAGTTTGAAATACATTTTTTGAAAGACAATATCCAAACTTAGGTAGTACTTGACTGTTAAAAAAGTGAATTATGRTGAAAACTTGATTTTCAAGTATAGCCGAAAGTCTTGTAAAAATTAAACTAAATGACCAGTCTGGGTAATATGATCTTTAATCAAACACAAGTTATAAGATAATAACCATAAAGAATCAAAGTTAATATATACTTATGAAAATAAATTTATATATTATTTTTAAAGGTAATTTCATAATAAAAGATGCAAAAAATATTTTGATCAAAGGCAAAATGCTTAGGAGTGTCATTTTCACTGTTAGCCGCCACACCCATTCTGAAAATTCTAGTGTRTCTGTTTTTAAATTTCTCATTGTTTTCTGTTTAATAACTACTAAAATGTCTTAAAGTTTTTTACTATTAGCCTGAATCTTATAATATGCGATTCTTTGTGAATTTCTATCTTAGATGTTACTTTTCAGTCTGGCTTGAGATTTATCTGTAGAATTTATGGAAGGCCCTGGTACCCAGTCTTTGGACTTTGGACATTTGGCTTCTGTGGGACTTCCACAAGTCAAGTAGATTATTTAGGTATGGATACAATAACCAGAATTCCAATTATGTCATCCAACACATGGTTTGATGCACATTATGACAATTAAACAGAATACGGGAAATTCAGGGAATGGAGAAAGAGAAAAGAAAAAACTGAATAATTATAATAATGTTATAAGAAAATGTAAACTTGAAAAATTGCTCAAAATCAGAAAACATAACCTCTGTAGGTAAACATTTATAAATTGATCCCACTAGGATATGAATCCAATTCTATGAAAGTATATCACCTCCATTTATAAACATCTTTCTTCATAAATGTGGTTTTCATAAAAGCTTCAACTTAGTGAACTTATTTCCCATAATATTCATAAACTGCTTGAATTTTTGTGATAAAATCTCTTTTATATTATGCATTATGATAGTTTTAATATCTTTCAAAATTTGTATTTGATGTGAAATCCTTGCAAAATTAAGAAAATAGATTTTTCTCAAACATTTTTGTTTCCAATGACAAACTCTAGATAATTAAATAAATATTTGATAAAATCTATAACCAGACCATAATATTTTTACACTTTTATGACTCTGAAGTCAATGGGATCATATTCAGAAAGTTTAATTCTAAGGGACTGAAGAAGATATGATATGAGTATCTGACTTTTTTCCTAAATATATGTTAAAGCCATGTTCAATGAGATTTTTCCTAAATTCTCAAATAGGCCCATTCGTTGCACATACAAACTGTTAGTCACAAAATTATGCTCAAGAGGATGAATTGATCATCTTATACAAACAAAGCACACTGTGCTATAAAGAATGTCAAAATGTGGTAAATAATAACAATAATAATATTACTCATAGCAGCTAACATTTACTAGGCTAAACACATGTATTTTCTCAAAAGATTAATCCTTATTAATCTTCAAACTTTAAAGGTCAAGTCATACATACACAGAGATGTTAAGGGACTTGTCTCAAGTCACAAAGTTACAAAGCAGTAGAGTCTGAATCTAAACAATATGAATCCAAAGTCTACCACCCTTGACCACTAAGCAATACTGCTTACCCCAATGCAGAAAATAAGTTTCTACCCTTATAGTCCATAGGAAGTTTATAATCACTGGTACTTTAGGTGATTGTCAATTCCTATAAATGAAAGGAACTTAATTTTTAAAAATACACCTATTCTTAGAGGAACTTATTATGAAATAGTTTAAAGAACAGAAATGAGTAGCTTTTAACAAATTTAGTACTCATTATAATACATTTTCTTTCCAATTCAATTTAAGAGCATTTCCCAAACTATACTAAAATGTATTAGGTAATCTGCAAAAGTAAAATTTAAAAAAATACTTTGTAAATGCCTAATTTTGAAGTTCTTTCTTACTTAAAAGTAGCCCTGGGAAACTGGGTCCGGTGATACGTGCCTGTAATCCCAGTGGCTTGGGAAGCTGAGGCAGGAGGATCAAGAGTTCAAAGCCAGCCTGAGCAAYTTAGCAGAGCCCTAAGCAATTTAGGAAGACTGTCTCTATATAAAATACAAAAAGGGCTGGGAATGTAGCTCAATGGTTAAGCCCCCTGGTTTTAATCCCTGATACCATAAAAAGAAAAGAAATAGCCACAGTATATTCCTTCTCCTAAAAGCTGCCTTTTGACTGATTAGCTTTAGGCTCCTCAAAGTGTTCTAATAAAAAGGCTATAAATTATGCCAATTAACATTGTGATTTTGTAAGTAGTAGGAAAATTGATCAACAGATAAGCCAGTTTTATAAATAAAGTAACAAAAGGCTCTGAAAATGTCAATACAAAAGGTAATTGCAAGCCTGGGGTGGTGGCACAAGCYGGCAATCCCAGCTACTCAGATGGCTGAGGCAGGAAGATCTTAAGTTCAAAGCCAGCCTGAGAAACTTAGATTCTGTCCAGAATAAAAGTTAAGAAAGGTCTGGGGATGTAGCTTAGCAGTAAAGCAATGGGCTCAATCCCCAGATGTGTGGTGGGCAGGTAATAGTGAAGAATAAGTAATTCCAAAGAGTAAAGTCCTTCTCTCCCATACACAGGGGAGGAGTCTCCTTCAGTGGCCAATGAACTCTCCTTAACACCTGAGTTCCAGGCTCATTGTACATACAATGAATTGAACATTAGAGACATGTGAAAGCTGAATATCTTCCCCTCCACACACACACACACACACACACACACACACACACATAGGCATATTTATAATATGTTTGACTTTTCTAATACTTCACTAGGCTGATTCATTGGAGAATTATGAGTCAAGTAAAGGTCCCATGAGAACTGTACCTATTCATTGATTCATACAAGTATAACAGGAACAAGGTAGATGTGGTATCCAAAGAACACTTCAAATATGAAATGCTACATTTAATTACACTTTGCCTAAGACTCTGAACTATTTTTAAAAACCTCATTAGATGAAGTTTGCAAGCTTTTATTGCACATCACATGCAAAGTAGAACAAGAGTACAATTTATTAATTGCCATTTGCACATAACTTCAGTACCTATACCCAGTGCTTCACATTTCCATGACTGTTCTGACCTCCCTTAAAAGTCCATCACTCATCATGTTCATGCTTAAGATAAATACTTTGACAAATTTGTTTTCATTCTTAAAAAGAAGAATAATGAAATTGTGGCAATACTTGTTAGACTTACTCAGTATCGTAACAATAAAAACTTTAGGCACATAATTCCCACTTTCTCTATCCCGTTTTTTTCCCCAAAATTCAGCTAACAAGTAACCATTTATTACCTGTAGTATGTGTGCCAAGAAGACAAGTTTCCAAGGCATGAAAGGGGAAAACAAAGAACAAACTTAAGAATTTATTACTAACAACTTTATAAATTTCTCAAAAAAATAAAAAATCAAATCAATTGCACCTTAGCATATTTGATTCTTGGGAGTCTGACTCTCAGTGGCAAGTAGATTTTGCTCTCTATTCAAACACTTGGCTTCAGCTTATTCTTTTTTCTCTTAATGAAATTTTATTCCACAATATCCATGTTTTCTTTCAAAACAATGAATGATAGTGCATCTCTTAAAAAAAAAATATTCCTCTTTCCCCCAAAACTCTGCCCATATTCACTCCCTCTTCCTTTCATGGGCACGTGTCCTTCCAAAGATCCGCTGGACACCCTCTCACCTGAAAAAAAGTTTGGAGATGACGCTGGCCTTTTCCAGAGGCGACTTCTGCATGGTCTCTGGGGCACTGGGGACCCTGCCAGGGCAGGCTGGGCTCGAGCTCCTAATGCCAAACGCCCTACTTCTCTCGGTGCCTGCCGCTCACCCCTTTTTCTCTGACTCGCTGATGTCACTTGCTTTCAACTCCCGCTCACCCACCCCTCTCCCACACACCTCCCCTTTCCTTTCGTTCCTTCCCCCGCCTCCACTGCCCAGGTTAAAAGCCCAGCGCGGCATAGTCCAGCCCCAAATTTGCTCCTGTGGCTTTCTCCACCCCCTCTGCACCTAGATCGCTCCTTCCTTCTGGCCTCCTTCCCTCCCTCCWGTCCCGAGTCTCCCTTTCCCGATTCTGATTCCCAGCCTTCCCGTGTCGCGCGGTCCTGTGGTGCGGTCCTTGCAGATTTGTGTCCCTACCGTCCAGCCCCAGCCCTCCCACAGGTGGGAGACAGTCGTAGAGTTCTCCAGGTCCGGTCCACGACACTCGAGGATAGGAGCACCTGCCCGAGCAGAACCAGCCCCCGCTGAAGCCTCAGGGACTCTCCTACGCACCAGGTTCTTCAGGACCCAGGACCTGGGACCCGCAGCCGCCCTCTTCCCGGAGTCTTCCTCCTCCTCTTTCCTGAGATTCTAGCCTGGTTCCTGTTACATTTGCAAGGTGCATTTTGAAAAAGGAATGAAAATATGCCCCTCCTGTATCAAAATACAGCCTTAGAGAGCTGGAAAGTTCTGCGGCAATGTCTGATGCGCTTCCTCTGAGCTTCCTTTGCGTGTCAGAGGGAAGAACCAAGCTTTGTTAATTTCAGGCGTAGGTGAACTCAAGACAATACGCCTTATAAGTCGTATTTGCATATTTTAAAAAAATCTGCAAAAGGTAAGAGGAGATATTTCTTTGCCCATTACTTGCCCAGGATTTGTTCGTGGTCTGTCGCAAGTACTTCAGCAGAGCTGTGTTTTTTAGGCGGCTTTGTGTGTCTTAGAGACAATGACAAGCGGACAGTGTGTAAACTAACCCGCCCTCCTATAGATTTCCTAGTCTTGGCCAGCAAAACATCTTAACTAATACACTGAAAGGAATCCAGTCTTTGAAGCAAAGTAGTGTGTTCACTTTGACCTGACTCAGGGGGAGAAGGAAAAGAAAAAAAAAAAATAAAAAAAGCTGTCTTGAACTCTATGAGGGCATTTAGGCTTTCCTGGGCAGGCAGTCATCTGGGTGCCTTCTTTCCAAGTTTTCAGTGTGAGGACTGTGTGCCTGGCTGCTGTTTTTTTTTTTTTTTTTTTTTTTTAAAGAGACAGGCCTTTAATTCCTGAATCGTATTGTGTAAAAGCAAATGTACACTGAGTTTGAATTGAAAATTTCAAACAGAAGTAAAAATTTTGGCCTGATTATTTAAAGACAAGAGTGTTTTTCTTGTGAATTATCTTATTGTTGACTTGTAGTCACCCAAATACAGTACATATAAAACATGTATTCCATAATGCTACAAAGAGGAGAACATGCATTAAATTAAATGTGTCCAGCAAGTTTTTATATCTCTTTTTTATTTTTCAATGTCATCATTTTTCCTTATCTTAAAGTAAATTTTAGAAACATTTTAATGTTATTATCTTAATTATAATAGGAAAAGAAGAGTGAAGATATAAAACAAATTGTATAAAGTTAGAGACCAGGAAAAAGCTTCAGTGTTTCTAACTCATAATCCCTTGCTTCAAATCCTGTGCCCACATTTTTTCTTCTCCAGCATGACAAAAATTGAGGCTCTATCTTCACTATTGACTTTTCCCAGGTATGTGATTGAACTCACTCCATCCACTCTCCACCCCCACTGTTTGCTTTATAACTGCTAGTGTGACCCATCAAATATAATACACACATTTTGAAATAAATTGCTAATCAGTTCCTCTTTGTTATCAACAAGCATGTGACAATAAAGAGATTAAGAATTAAGTTCCAAAGATTATAGAAGCTGACTAAGGGCTATGACTCAAGGAGACCCCACATATTTGTCAAGTAATCTCAAGAATAAATAAAATAGTGACAAGTTCTTACTATTTGCCAGGCATCATTTATATAAACCTTAAGACAACCATATAAATATGCGTTATTATCCCCAGTTTTCAATTCAAGAAACATATAAGAGAAGTTTAGTAAATGCCTACAACAGTGGAGTTAAGATTCAAACTCAGGTCTGACTCCAAACCATCTCTTCTATCAGTAATTTATTTCTAATCAAACAATCCTTCCTGTATTTATATATTTATATATTATCACTTAGACCTGCCCATTTTTTTCTGCCCACATTAGTCTTATAAAGTCAAAACTCTAGCCCTGTTCAGCAATGAGACAGGAAAGCAGAAATCTCAAATCAATTAGTCACTGGAGTTACATATTTTTGATGAATGACATTTAACTATAATATTTTATTTTAAGCATGTACATACACACATACATAGAGAGACCCTAGATTTTTATCACAAAGTATCCCAGTCAAAGTTTGTTTGGTCAGAAAAAGACTTCACCATTCAGAACTTTAACATTACTAGAAGACCTGTCCAAATGAACTAATTGAGATATGATACTCAGGATTTGCATCTAGGAACATACCTAATGTGGTAATGCAAATGTATGTACCAGAAACGTGTTCAAATAGGGCTGAAGGTCATGACTGAAATCCTAAACGTGGATCTCAGAGGAAATCAATAGGCCAGGTGAGGGTGGATGGTGGTAATAAGAAACAGAGAAATTCTTTCCAAGTTACTCAAGTGCCAGCTCATATCATTTTTTAACAATATTATAATAGCTTTCATTTGTTGGAAATTTGCCATATATGCTGGGCACAATGACAAATACACAGCATGATTTTCCTCTTTTAATCTTTATAAAACCTTTGTGGAACAGGTATTTTTGTTATCTATATACTGCAGATAAAGAGACCGAGGTACAAGAAGTTTATTAATTTTCCCAAGCAAGTTTCAGAGAATATAATGACAGAAGAAACTGGGGTTTGAACCTAGTCGATTGCCTGAGCACAAGCATTTAATGACTACATACATTTCTACAGAATTTCCTAATGCTTTAGGCAGCACTGACTTTAAATATACAAGAGTGAGAGGCCACGTATTTGACATCATTTTAAAGATATGTTAGAAGCAAGCAAGGAAGGAGGAGGAAAAAGAAAGAGGAAAAAGGAGAAGGGAGAGAGAGAGGGAAGGAAGGAGAAAGAGAAAGAGGAGGAAGGAAGAAGAGGAAGGAGCAGAAGGGGGGAAAAGAAAGTAGACACCTATTTAGTACCTCCTGTACATGCAGCAATATGCAGGCGCTTCCTACAAAGGATCTCACTGTATGAAAGATTACAAGAGACAATCTTCCTTTCCCATATTGCTCACCTTACCAGATGATAGCTCAATTTTCTCCACTAAAGATCACGAGAGTGAACTTTCACTACACTCTATTTATTCATCATGTTCAACTTAATTTGAGAGTGTTCCTCAGATTCTCTCCTGAGTGAGCTGTAATAGTGTTAAGTGGGTAGCAACCAGGAGTGCACTAAAAACTAGAAAAGTAGAAGGAGGATGAAAATGTCACCTCAGAGGGAAGAAAAGTTCATCAAAAGAGAGAAGGCAAGGCCTCATCAGCTTCATCTGAATAGGCAGCATGCTTATAAATTTATCTAAGCTGGACAGGTAGGAGCAGTCACAGCTATTCCACAGTATGCCACAAAAAATAACAATGCATGTTACAGTCTTACAAAGATGTTTCAGGACCCAAAAGATGTTCCCTGGCCCATGAATAGGCCAGTTTCTCATTTACTTTTACTGCTTTCAATATTATGTTTGGTCTGACAAGTCTGTTTATAAGCACCTTCATAATACTATATATATATATATATATATATCTTCTCTCCAACAACCTCCTTTAGACAGAAATAGTGCCTTGTTTTTCTTTTAACTTACACCTTATATAATCTTTTGGGTTACTGACCTAATGGTTGAAACGTCATCCGAAAGGAAAGGTCTGATGATGCTCTAGAGATGAGTCGTTGCTATTAGTCTCTTAGCAAGTGAGAGCATGGTGCTAAGGCAGATACACAGCAGGAGAGCATATCTCTACCCTTCAAAACTCAGAATCTATTCATGGTCATCAGAGCTTTTGGAGATGATAGCAGAATATAAAGAGAGGGTGGGTTTTAAGGCAAGAAAGAACTAGGTTCTCAATCCTGAAACCATCACTTATTTAGTTCTGTGATCTTGGGGATAATTTATATAACCTTTCTGTATCTCCATTTCTCTTTTCTGAAAATGAGGCCAATGATATACATCAAATAAATTATTGAATGGGAAGATTTTTATTATGTCAAGCACTATTGACATTTATGATTGAACAATTCTTTGGATGTGGGGTTGTCCTATACATTTAGTAGCATCTCTAATTTCAAACCACTAGGTACTAATAGAACTACCCCTACCCTCAAGTTGTGACAACCTATACTGTCTTCAGAGATTGACAAATACCCTGAGTAAGGGGATGAGAAATCACCTCTAGTTGAGAACTGCAGGATAGAATTAGTTAAATGTGATATATTTAACGGGCATAAAGGGTTTAAAACCTAATAAGAATTCAACTAATGTTATAGATTATCATTATACATTATTAGTTGTAAATCAGAAAATAGTAGCATTGCAAAATGGAATGCTAGAGAAATCTGAACTCACTAACGGCTGTCAGAATTCTCAGGAACACTGGGCTTTTCTCATTCACTATGAAGTTATTTTCTTGTATTGAACTAGAAGAAAAAGGGGTAAAGTCAAGTAACTAAGATGATTTTGATTTAGAGGCAAAATACTATACTATATGGTGGAAATATCCTTACTCCTTTTGCATTTAAATGACATTTGAAAACTCTYTTTAGGTTCCTCTAATTTTCAGCTCATCAACATTGGTATATTTGTAACAACTGTGTCCAGATGGAAATTGGCACCCTGATGGTTCCTCTGTAACTTAAAAGTAGTTCCTCATAAAGGAAATCTTAAAAATCCCCAAGCTGCACAAAATGGGAACTTTATTAGTGCCACTAATAACTGGAACAATTTACAAACAATATCCTGAATGCAACTTTGCTATAAATGTAGAAGCTAACAATTATTCT